AGGTATCTTGGGTGTCAATGGATTCACACTTCCATAGCCATGACTTCTTCAATGGAACTATTCATTTATTAGCATGTAGAAAACCTATTGTGGTGGTAATCGACTTCGAGAGGGAGAGAGAGAGAGAGAGAGAGAGAGAGAGAGAGAGAGAGAGAGAGAGAGAGAGAGAGAGAGAGAATCGAGAGAGAGAGAGAGAGAGAGAGAGAGAGAGAGAGAGAGATTTATCGAAGAATTGAGTTACTCACATCTAAAGTAGGTTCTCGAAATCTTGGGTGATCGTAGGGTTATTTGCATTACGGGCAGATATCACATAATCATATGGCGGTATGGATATTGGAGGATTATGACAAAAATGAATGAGTTATGAAACATAGTGTCAGGATTGAAGATTTGTTTGAGAAACAGCCAGTGGAGCCACTTCATCACTCTTCTATCCAAAATTTTGATATATTGCCTTTTCATCCTGATTTGGATATTAGTGGTAAATTGACAGAGATTTTGATTCCTCACAGGGTGATTGGAGAGTTCTTTGTATATGCTCATTGCATGTCAGAGGACATGGAATCATAAAGTCTTTTCACGGATAATTTCACCTTTATTTTCCGTTATTGCACTAGTTTTGATTTAAGTGATGGCAAGACATGGTTGTTCTGCCTTTGTTGATTTGAGTTTGAACTGTTTAAGATATAAATTTCCTTTTTCTAAAATTTGACACAGTGGTAGGGCTGTGCAAACAGTCGGGTTGATTTTTATCAAATTTTGAACAACCAAACCGAACTGCAATAAGTCGGTACGGTGCGGTGCGGTTCGGTTAGTTCAGTTCAAAATAAAAATAGAACAAATATATATGAAAACATCGAATCTTCACCTAACTCTTTTTGTCTTTGGATATTGTCATGTTCATCCCATCGAACCTGAAAAATGTACAACCATTTAATATTAGGGCATGGATGATGAATTGAAAGTATGCAGTGTGAGAAGAAGAAAAGAGATTATTTACTTTCAAAGATTCCCACTTAGAAATTAAAATCAACCCATTGTGATGAAGTATCCTTCAAATAATTGTAATTGCAAACCTGAGAGATTGATAAGAATCAGAAATTTGAATGTACGATCATAATATAGGCACAAACAAGTTATGACAAAAACAATGAGAAAATACCTTTTCTCAAGAACATCTTCTCCCTCAAATAAACTCCATAACAAATATCCTCAATAAACTATCCCGGAGGTATAATTCATGGTGATGCAGCACCGGCAATTTAGAAGATTAAGATTAAGGCAACAAACTAACTAACAAACTATCAAACTGAGACAAATTTAACTTGCTATTAAGAAGATAAAAAACCAATTCAATGCACCTGTAGACAAGATAACTAGCACACATACATCTAACAGATCAGAATTATTAATGATATAAGGAGCTTCTGCCCAAATATACAACTACAACAAGTTTCGAAGCAGTATTTGAGCAGGCTGCAAGTTTAGTTGAGCTAAAACTAACTTGATAAAACCACAATAAGAAGTATCTTTAATTTTAATAAGAAGTTCATACCTCCACTGTCACTGCGGATGTCTCCAAAGTAGGGGATGCATCTTGAGAAAATGGTTCGTCCTATTGAGATTGTGTCTTTAATTCTTTGTATAACTTCATAAAAATTAGATAGGGTTAGAGATTTATCATGATTAGGTGATTGGGTCTCATCATGATTAGGAGTTTGAATCATATTCTAATTAGGAAGTTAGGCTAGAGATAGGGTTTTGGTTTCCCTATATATATATTCTTCTATTGTTGGAGGAAAAATCAAGCAGAAGAGAGAGAGCCAATATTCTTGTAACCTAGAGTTAGCAGAAGGCGTAGCCTGATTCAAGAATATTGTGCGAGAGGCAAGTGTTTCGTAGTCTTTGTCCATGCAAAAGATTACATCATTGGGAGAGGGTTTTGCAGTCTTTCTCCGTTCAAAAGATTGTAAGGAGAGAGCTTTGGAGAGAATATGAGAGTTGATTATGTATGTGAGGTTGAGGGATTAAGAGACGAGAGTTGAGTGGTTCCTCTTGTAATTCTCCCTGATACATAGTGGATTTCTCGTATTGTTTCCCATGGACGTAGGTCAAAGTTGGTCGACTGAACCACGTAAATCTTGATGTTCTTTCTTCTTGATTGCGGTTGTTTTCTATCTTATTAATTGTGGTTAGCTTCTGAGTTGCAGAGATCGTAGTAGACGCGGAGACTAAAATTCCTTAACAAGTGCTATCAGAGCCATGATGATGGATCCGGAAGCGAGTTCGCAAGATAGACGTCGTACAAAAGTGAAGATTGGTGGCGTTACAAGAATCAAGATGAAGAAAAAGAAAAAAAAAGAAGGTACTGTAGCGATAAAAATACTTTTCACGTAGGTGAGGGTTTGGTTAAAAATTATTAAATAAAATCCAACGGTACAGATTAATTTGTCTTCTCATCAAGGGTTTGGAGGCAGATTTCGACAAACCAGAAATTGATTCCTAGATTTTGGAGTGCTCTGAACATGATGAGAGTGTCTGATTTTTCAGATTATGCTCAAATTAGTCAGAAAGTACTAAAAAGTTCTAATGGTGATGACGAGACAGATCTAATGACAGATAGGGCAAACGAGTATGCAATAGATGAGACTAGCGTAGAGAATCAGATGTGATTCTATCAGTAGAGTTATCAGCATATAATTATTCAGAGTCATTGTGAGAGCAGTAGTTGGTTGGTGTGTAGACTCGAGGAGGACAGTGCCATATTAGGTGGAGCTTGAAAGCAAGCACAACTGAGTGACACACATGCTGATGAAGATAGTGACATTGGACTTGAAGACAATGAGCGCTCATATTCGGTCCTAGCCAAGTGAGGGGGGAGATGAAGGCATTTGGCTCGTAGTGTGAAGTAGGAGAGGTGCACCGGTATAATTCGAGACGAGCAATGCAGGTGGAAATATGAGAACAGCAATTGGGGGAAGGCTACTGTCAAGTTCAATTTGGGAGGAGAAGCATGATTGATTTATTTCTAATGTCAGAGGTGGTAAAAATCTCGTAGTGCGCACAATAGAGGTAGAGGCGCCACAGCAAGACAGATGAAAGTGAGGATCATAGGGGCATCCAGTTGGAGTGCAAGTGCTACGATTTGAAGTGCGAAAGAAATAGAAGACTCTAGCGTGAGAGGCAAAGTTTCAAGACGACGATGATATATCTTCAATGGAGTTTGGTAATCAAATCCAATGTGGAGATTGTTGGGATTGTGTCTTTGAGTCTTTGTATAACTTCATAAAATTTAGATAGAGTTAGAGATTTATCATGATTAGGAGATTGGGTCTCATCATGATTAGGAGTTTAAATCCTATTCTAGTTAGGAAGTTAGGCTAGAGATAGAGTTTTAGTTTTCCCATGTATATTCTTATATTGTTGGAGGAAAAAACCAAGCAGAAGAGAGAGAGCCAATATTCTTGTAATCAAGAGTTAGCAAAGAGCATAGCTTGATTCAAGAATATTGTGCGAGAAGCGAGGGTTTCATAGACTTCGTCCGTGCAAAAAATTACATCACTCGGAGAGGGTTTCATAGTTTTTGTCCGTTCAAAAGATTGTAAGGAGAGGGTTTTGGAGAAAATATGAGAGTTGATTATGTATGTGATGTTGAGAGATTAAGAGACAAGAGTTGAGTGGTTCCTCTTGTAATTCTCCCTACATAGTGGATTTATCGTATTGTTGCCCGTGGACGTAGGTCAGAGTTGGTCGACCGAATCACGTAAATCTTGATGTTCTTTCTTCTTGATTGCGATTGTTTTCTATCTTATTAATTGTGGGGTTAGCTTCCGAGTTGCGGAGATCGTAGTAGACGAGGAGACTAAAATTCCTCAACACGGCCATGAAGAGAAATGATAGGTCAGGTAGAATTTTACCCTAATGTCTACGAGGCAACGGTGAGACTGCAGCGAGTTGGAGGTGAGTCAACGAGTCGGCGGCGAGTCAGAGGCGTATTGGCGGCGATTCGGAGGCACGTCAGCGAGTCGGCGACAAAGTTGATGGCGATGGTGATTGATGATGACTAAAGATGGAGAGACAGCTGCAATGTAGTCGTGAGAGAAATTGGGAATTTAGGGTCGGCGTTTTCTTTGTTTTAGGTTGTTAGAAGATGAGAACAAGGATGAGTTTCTAACGGGCACGTATTAAGAAAATATGTGAATAACTTATATGCGGTCGATTCGGGCGGATCGGATTGAAAAGTCCGAACCAAGTAGTACAGAAAACCAACCCGAATTGCTATTTTTCGGTTGGTTCGATCGGTTTATTTAGTATGGACCAAACTATGCTCAGTCCTACATAGTGAAATAGGAAGAATCTGTTAGATGGTATTTAAAATGAAAAAAATCAAATCTAATTCAGAAAAATTATGAATAAAATTGAGAAAGATGGCAATGAACAAAACTAGAAGCAACTGAATTCGAGATGGCAAATCCAGAAGTGAGAAGATAGGAGGTGTGGACATGTTGTTTAAGATTTTCTTCAACTTAATATCCACGATAATAATCCCAGGAACCTCCACCTTCTCTTGTTTGTAGAAAAAATCCGCCATGGGACAATAGTATGAGGGGTCTAACTACAGCTAACCCGACTTTAACAATTTTCACTTCTATCTGTAATTAGGCAAGTGTACCACCACATACATACGTAATTTCTTTTCCATAATAAAATAATAAAAAGAACTATCCTGAGGATAGTCATGACAGCAATTCATAAACAGCAATAGAGAAACCCATTACAAAATTGATGAAATCAGTTAACAGATATGTCAATGGAAAAGGCCAAAATATCGGCAGTACATCAACTCGCGCACGCACAACATCAAGCAACAAGCAAATTCCAAAGAAATATTCCAAGTTCAACAACTACTACTTGCAGTAAATTCATGATATTTATAGTCATTAAACATGCTCAAACATATTAAACTTGTCAGGTCAATAAGCAACTCAGCATAAGAAAAAGTCAATAAGCAACTCAGCATAAGAAAAATATGAGTAACAAAACTGCAAGCTCAAGCCATCCACATTATCAGTGTTTTTTGGAAACAAATTCCAGAAAAATGAAAAGATCACATCACTATATCTAAGCACCAACGATCTCTTGTTGCTCCCCTTCCATAGGAGTGTCCTCGGCAGGCCTGTCCACCTTAGCACCAATATCCTCATTGCTATAGTCACCATGGACCTAAACAAACAAAGTATATGAAGATTATTAAAATTCATTTCACAAATAAGTCGAATCTAAAATTATTAAAATTCATTTCACAAATAACTCAAATCTTTTAATTTCTTTCTTACCTCCATAAGTTTGCCAAGATCAAACTTGGGTGCCTTCAGGATTTTAACTTTGCGGATAAACACGTTCTGGAGAGGGTAAATACCCGAAGTTGCCTTCTCAATTTCCTTCCCAATTGACTCAGGAATGAACTTTGCAACCAACTCTTTCAGGTCACAGGATGAAGCTTGATTTAACATAATCTCCCTCATCTTGCGACGAATCTGGTAAAGAAAGAAACAGGTTAAACAATGAACCATAGATACAAAAACTGTTGGAAGCCATTGGCAGTAAAAGTAAGAATCTTGCCTGTCTGATCTGGCTCGACTGGGCATAGCAAGTGCGCTTCACCTGGTTTGGACGTCTCTTCGTGAACGCAATGCAGAACATCCTCAACGTGTAGTTGTCAGTGGTTTTCACATCAACATGAGCCTCGATCAATGTCTGCCACTTCCTTACTAGTGACCTAAGCTTGTCGGTAGTAAAGTCCATACCCTAGAAAGAATAATGTAATGCAAGTGTCATCAAGAGATTATTAAATATAAGTTAAATATGGGGTACTCTGATATATACTTACCCAGAAATTGGTAAGGACATTCTTTCCTTGAATGTCCTCTGCGCGAAGGCGGATCTTTCTGTAAGCCTGATCCTCATCAGTCTGGAGATCTGCAAGAGATACTTCGAACACCCTATGCTTGAGACCCTCTGAAGCAATCTGAAGGACAGAGACAATATTTTACTACAAAAACTAAAGATACAAGCAAGTGGACTGCGGTAGGCGCGATACCACAATCTCATAATTAAAAACAATCAATAAAAAGTCTGACAATGAATGCATAAAGATATACAATCAATGAACTAGAAGGCTTCATCAGTGAAGAAAAATCATTGCTCTGGGAACAGAGCAAAGGAACACCTTAGAACATAAAAAAAGAAGAAAAAATCGTGCAAAAAGCGTATTTGATTGATTAATAATTTAAAAGCAACAATAGAACTATATGTAACACCATGATGTAAAGACAACAGATCAAGGATACCATCACACAAAGGTTAATATGTTAAGCATTTGGTTTCTTTCATGAAAGAAAGTGACAGAAATTTCTTGATGCATGTATAATTCAATAGAGGATGGACACTAACTAGTTCTAACTAGTTAACTGTCATTGATGACATGAGACGTCAGATGTGCACACATAATAGAAGCGCATCAAGCTCATTAGACGAGTCAAATGAAATGCATGAATAGACAGTTACAAATGCAGTTCAGAGAAGTGAAGAACCAGATAGAAGAGGGCTGGGTGCAAATTGAATTGTGGAAGTGAATATAATCAATAGATAGAAAAGGAAGAGAATTATTTGAATCCAAACACTAGTGAGACTAATGCAAATTGCAAAATAAAAAGTTGATCAAATACCAATAGAGTTTGCAGCATAATATTAGAGGTGATGGGCTGAGCCCAAACACATTAATCAGAAAAAAATTATACATTTATAAATAAAACAACAAAGGAAAGCAAGGATCATGTTATTAATGAAAAGAAATCACAGCTTAATCAGCAAGATTTTTTTGTTTGAGAAAGGACTCCTTGAATTTAGGAATATTTTTGACTTTATTGTTTATTGCATTGTAAAATTGAGTAAAACAGAAATAAAAATTGTAGTACTTTGGCATTCAACTGAGACCAGTCTCCCAATACATCTGAACAAGTGAGCAAAAGGAGCAAACGCCCAACCACTAATCCTAACATTTCATATACAGTACAAATTTCTGTGGGTTAATACCATGGACACAAGCTGAGAAAGCATCAAATTAGTAGTAACATAGCCAAGAATTATGATACTTAAAAAGTCAAGCTTGTAGTATCAACCTTCTACAAACCTTTTGAGCTCAAATATTATGACATCATGAACTGGATGATCTTAAACTGAAAATCGGCCCAAATTTTTGGGTTTATTTTAGCCAATCTAACCGAAAATTTGAAGTTTACATTAAACTTCTTTTGAGTTTCCCCAAATCTAAGTTCTATTGATATCTGCTACCATGCTCCAAATAGCATAGTACAGGGGCAGTTATCAAACAAAAGCTTGAAATCAGGCTAAATAAATTTAATTATACTATGTAGTTACCTGATAAAAAATAAAATTACTAAAATAAACCAATTAAATCATGATATACTATTTAATCTCTTTCAGATGCATTCCCAATAAATTATCTTACTTTTTCTTTATATATTACCAAGGGAAATTGGTTGGGGCAGGTAACCCCAAAAGTTCAGAACGAAGGCCTTATTGTTGTTGGTGCAACAAACGTCGAGCAAAACCAAAGTAAAATACCAAATAATTAACAATTTGTTCTTGAATTAGTAAAAGCAACCATCTCTAGATCAAATTAGTAAAATCCACTATTGTATTCAGGAACTGATATGAGACAAGGAGCAACAACTTAAGGATATGATTAAAGTATGGGATATCACAAATCACTTATATTCTCTCATATCTCGGATTAACTGCACAACAAGTTGGTAGTCTGTGTCAAAGTCTAGGAAATAAAGATCAAAACTCACCCTGGTTCCTTGAGTCCTAGAGACTAGGGTTTTCCCAATGTTCCTCGTATTGAACACTGATGGAGCCTTGATATCATACCAATCCTTCTTTGCAAAAGGATCAACACTGCAACAAATCATTCAAAATACAAAGGATAAAAAATCACCTTTCGCAAAATCAAATCTCAGAATTATCTAAGACAAATTTCAGATATAACATGAAAAGACTTACGCTTTCTTCTTCCCTCCCTTCTTACCCTTAGAAATCCTCTTGTTCTTACTGTAAGCAAACGCAAATGTGAGAGACCAAAGAAAACAGCAGAGGGCTGATAAGAGCGATGAGATCCTTACCCAACCGCCATGTTTATTGCCTCTCCTGCTATTGTTTCCTCTCAAAGGCTGGGTCTGAGCGTGGCGGAGGCGAGCGCGAGAGTAGAAGACCTAGGATCTCGATGCGCCGTTAGTTTTATATAAGGTTCAGCTTCTGTGCTCTTTTTAGGGTTTTCTTTATAATCTACTGATCTAACTGTGGATTTTGGCGGAGAGAAGATCGTGTGACTTTTATTATCCGTCTAATTATGGGTGCGAGTCGCCGACTGATGGACTCTGGCTCGGTTTAGGCCCAATTGTATATGTAAGCCTGTTTTTGTCAATTTCAAAATCGGACTGGGGTTGAACTAGATTTTGCTTACGGTTTTTTTCCATAGAAATCGCGGTTTTATAATGGTATCCTCACCTAGCTACTCTTCATGATTTTTAATTTATACATAAATTATTTTTAAAATATTTTTTATTACATTCAATCATGTGAGTCCTACTTTTCGATCATATTTTTTAGATTTGATCTCACCTAACTTTAATTAACTATCATCTCTCTAATATCCCTCGTATTGGACACCTAATTATTATAAGAAAATGGGAAAAAACAAACTTAACTTAAAAGTGACGCCAGGTGATTGATTGCAACAAAAAATACTTAAAAATAGTTTATATATAAATTGAAAACAAAAAGTGATTTTTATTGAATGACCCTATTTTAAGGGTTTATGAAAAAAAATGTTGTTGCTTAATTAGGCTAGAATTGCCCACATAGGGATTATGGTCCCCCCAAAAAATACTAATTTAAGTGCTAGAGTACTAAACTAGTCCTTTGAAGTAAAGAGATAAACTACTTCTATTTATTTGGTTCACGTCTCCTACAACTAACACCGATTGTTGTGTGCCAACCAGTGATCTATGTGGAAGCATAGCCAGCGAGAGCTTCATTGAAATACCCGATTAGATCTCTTTCTTCATAGATAATCGATAATCAGGCGATGTGGAAGCACCAAGAAAATGCTAGAATAGTATTTATAATCTGCCCTTGAAGATCCAATACAAATTATGCAATAATATTGTTTGGGTAGAAAATTGTATTCTTCATCGTGTAACTCATTACAGCTTCGATCGTTACAACAAGTTCAAAAAGATTGGTCTTTTTATAAGACCTTCACACAATGAAAACAAAAAAAATTATAACTCTCGTCAAACAGCGCAACGTGTGTTTATCGCCCGCTGCTTGCGTGGGATCTTGGCCTGTGACGGGGACGTTGATATCCGTGGACCACTAAACGATCAAATCAGATCCGAAGCTTCGTTGATTTACGAAGGAATCAAGAAACCGAAGCAGTTATCTCGGCAACGGTGAGATAACCACTCTTCTCGAGATCACCACAATGGGTCGATCTCAAGGAAGGAACCGAGCTGCAGATCTGACGAGCTCCTCTTCTTTATGTTGACGAACTTGATCTGATCTCTCCTCCACCTCTCTGAAATTTGTGGCTCTTCAGTCCTCAATTCGGTAGGGCTTCGCCGACTCTCGAGAATTCCAGATCTGAAAAAATGAAGGTCCTGGGGCTGTATTTATAGGCTTCAGGAGCCTTGTGTTCGGATAAGAACGGCCGATTCTCTCTTATCTTCAGTTAAAACCACTTAACCACATTATCAGATCAGTTGGAGCAAATCCAGGCGGTTAACGATCGAAAAACCGTCAAAAACAACCAAAATCAGCATTTTCGTGTTGCAGACACTTATAAGTGTCTCGGCGTGACCGAGACACTTACAAGTGTCTTGGCCGAGACACTTGTAAGTATCTTGGCCAAGCCAAGACACCCCAGGGTATCTCAGTTTGGTTTTTTTTGTTTTTGGTGCGTCGAGTTTGTTTCCACCGTATATTCGTCGTCCGGACTCAGAATTATGCGGTTCAAGATGCGTCGAAAAGCCGATGAGGAGATCGACGGGCTCCCATGATTGAATCATATGTGGAGTAAATAGGACACAAGGGGTGCTCCGTCTTTCGTAAATGACGTGGGGCTCCCGATCTGCTCTTGTTTTCGTTATTCTGAAGTTCAATTACTTCGTATGATCCGTTGACTCACTTCATACGTTTGTCATCGTCAAATGAGCTTCTGTGATTCGAATGGTGATGTTCATCGTCTTCTCTTTGTCTCGAGCCACGTGTGGGAACCTATAGGTAATTTTTGACGCCTACAGATACCCCCTCCAAAGTGTTTCAGTCTTGTTTCTTTTATAGATGAGTCTGAAATACTTTGGATATGATTGGTCCAACCTTCAATCGGTGTAAAGGGATCTGTAATTAGCTTTGATTCTTGACTCCTTCGATTTTCAATCTATTCGATGTTTTGACGAATAGCTGAAGTTCTCCCGGCGCTGCGTTTATCGTCTGGCCGTCGTCGAAATCTTGAATCAAAACCGGTGAGTTGATTTTGACTCGTATCATCGAGTTGACTTTGAACTGACTATCTCCATTACGATATATTGACTCGTATTGACTTTTATCGTAACGCGTTGACTGGCGTTGACCTAGGCTTACGCGTTGACCGGCGTTAACTTAGGGTTTCGAATCGCCCGGCGTTGACTTTTTTATCGCAACGCTTTGACTGGCGTTGACCTAGGGTTACACGTTGACCGGCGTTGACCTAGGATTTCAGATCGCCTAACGTTAATATAGTTTATACTCGTACGTTTGCTGAAGTATACACAGCTTAAGCTCTTAAGGTATTGGAGCATGGCGGTCCCAACAGTTAGGGCTACAGGACCAACAGTTAAAGCTGATTCGTCTGTAGATATGGATCTTATCTCGAAGTCGTTGGATGCTCAAGTCACGAGACCAACTAATGAAGCTGATGCGTCAATGACTTACATTTATAGAATTTTTGGTAAATTCTTAGCCATCAACGGGTTTGATTAGCCTTTACCGACTACCGTTTGAGTCGGGCTAGCATGCAGATTATTTAGATCCGTTCTGCACGTAACGTTGTGCTAAAAGAGTTAACTCTTTTAGTGCTACGATATTGAATACGTAGACTTCGTCTTTCTCACGGGAATAGGCTACCTGGCAACGTGTGTTAGACGTAGACTTAGGATTTTTGGCAAATCCTCAGCCTTCAACGGATTTGACGTGCCTTTACCGACTACCGTTTGAGTCGGGCTAGCAAGCAGATTGTTTAAGTCCATTCCGCATGTGACGTTATGCTAAGGGAGTTAACTCTCTTAGTACTACGATATTGAATACATAGACTTTGTCTTTCTCGCAGGAATAGACTACCCGACAATACGTGTTAGACGTTGACTTATCCCTTCTTAGGATTCGGGATAAAAGTCCCCAGACTCGGATTCTGGTGTCTTTTTCACTCGGCGAAAGACTAAACCGGCAACACGTGTTAGGCGTTGACTTATCTCTATTTAGGAGTCGAGATAAAGTTCCCCGTGCGTGTAAGACACAGATTATGGTGTTATTAATAACAACCTGCCATAATGTCGAATATGTGGGCTTTTGTTCTTTTTTACGGTCAAGGGCTAATCGACAACGCGTGTTAGGCGCTGACTTATCCCTACTTAGGCTTCGGGATAAAATTCCCCAGATGTGGATTCTGGTGTCTTCTTCAATCGGTGAAAGACTAAACCGGCAACGTGTGTTAGGCGTTGACTTATCCCTGCTCAGGATTTGGGATAAAATTCCTCATGCATAAAAGACATGGATTTTTGTTGCTACGATGCTGAATACGTAGACTCGGTCGTTTTCACGAGAACGAACCACCTAGTAACGTGGGTTAAGCGCTGACTCATCCCTACTTAGGCTTCGGGATAAAATGCCCCAGATTAGTATTCTAGTGTCTTCTTTAATCGGTAAAAGACTAAACCGGCAATGCGTGTTAGGCGTTGACTTATCCCTACTTAGGATTCAGGATAAAATTCCTCGCGTGTGTAAGGCACGGCTTTTGGGAGTTGAAGGATAGTGTCGAAAAATGGGAGAGGAAGAATTTTATATTCTATCTCCCAAAACCGAAGAGGAAGAATTTTATATTCTATCTCCAGTTGCCAAGGAAACTCGAAGTGGGATCTCCACCCTAAGAATCCGGAAAAGTGAAACTAGGAGTGGGATCTCCACTCCGAGAATTAGAAAGAACCAAGCAACCCTAACTTTTATAGGATTGGTTGCTTAGTCCAAGAAAAGAATTCCTCATTTATTAAGGTAAAATTCCGATTTCGGCCTAACTTTTATAGGTTTGGTCGAATAGGAAAAGGTGAAAGTCTTTCGTTTATCGAAAGGGGCATTCCGGTCTTGGTCCTAACTATCTGCAGGTTTGACCAAGTGAGGTTGGAGGTAATCCTAACTTTTATAGATTTGATTGCTCAAATTGAAAGTGGACCTCTCGTTCATGGAAGAAATCGAGAGGGGATTTTGGTTGTGGTCCTAACTATTTAAAGGTTTGACCAAGATAGGAATTTGAGACGACCCTGACTGTTTAAAAGTTTGATCATTCAATTTGTGGACCTCTTGTTCATGGAAGGAATCGAGAGTAGATTTTGGTTGTGATCCAAACTGTTTAAAGGTTTGACCAAGATGGGAATTTGAGACAACCCTATGTAGGCATCGAAAATTGCCTATAGGTCTCCACGAACGGTTCAGTGTTAAAGAGCGACGATGAACGTCACTATCCGATCCACAGGAGTTTGATTGACATCGATGAACGATTGAAGTGAATCGACGAACTACGTGAGCTGATAGGATTTCGGAATAGCGAAGGCACGGGCCAATCGGGAACCCTGCGATGTTCACGAAAAGAACAATGACCTTCACGTCTCGATCACTCTACAGATAATCCAACCATCGGAGCGGATCGAACTCTTCGTCAAGCTTCCAACGCACTTGGAATCACTTAAATCCGAGTTCGGACGAAGAATTTACGGTGAAAACAATCAAACATACGCAACGGAGCGTCTCAGGCTGAACTGGGACACCCGGGGTGTCTCGGGAAAGTCGGAACACCCCAGGGGTGTCTAGGCAAAGCCTAGACACCCCAGGGGTC